TCTTTATATATTTTCAGTGGAACATTATGCAAATTAGGTAATTAATATCCAATTAAAACTAATCAGATCTCTGCATAGTCCTAGAAGATCTATGTAGCAAGTCTCATTGAAATATGATGATTAGTACTTGAGATAGCAGGCAAAAAGATGAAAATTAACTAATTATGCTAATAAGGTAATTAATATGGACAAATATTTACCCAAAAACCAATCAGGGGTCTGCACAGTCCTTAAGTAACTATGTACCAAGTGTCATTGAAATGTGATGATTACTACTTAAAATATCAAAAGCTGAAAATTAATTAATTATGCAAATTAGGTAATTAATATCTACTGATATTATCCTAGAAACTATCAGGTTTGTGCAGTGTCCTATGACATCTTTGTACCAAGTTTGATTGAAATGTGATGATTAGTACTTGAGATATCAGTGGAAAAACCTAAAATTGATTAATCATTATGCAAATTAGGTAATTAATATTGCACAGATTTTTACCCAAAACTAATCAAATCTGCGCATTAGTTTGGAGCATCTATGTGCCAAGTTTCATCAAAATCAAATGAGTGGTTCTTTAAATATCAGTGGAACAGTCATGGAACAGCTAAAAATCAGCTAATTATCATGCAAATTAAGTAATTAATATGCATGGATTTTTACCAAAACCTAATCAAATCTGCGCATTGGTCCAGAGCATCTATGCACCAAGTTTCATCAAAAATCAATGTATGATTCTTGAGATATTAGTGGAACAGACACAAAGACACACACACACAGACAGACACTAACTGCAAAGACTTTCTTTTTGTGCTTCGCACACGGGAGTCAAAAACGAGTAAATCAAATTTTTATTAAATCACAGAATGAAAAGTGACTCAATATGTACTGTACTGTCTTAAGGTAGCGAGAGGGGAGAGGGGAAAGGGGACTAATAGTTTCATTGTGATTAGGACTTCCTCCCCCATGTTAGTAAACATGCAGCTATGGCAATGTATACGTTTTCAGAAAGCCGAGATACATGAGAATAGGATCATGTATTTTTCATGTTAATATTCACTCAGGGGATTAAGTTATGGAAATCCTCTTAAACATCCTAAAAAAAGATTTTTACCCAGGATTGGCCATTTTTCGTAGTTCGTTCTTTCTAAGAATTTGATTTTTTCAGTGTTGCTTTATAAGATCTTTGCAACTGGGTCTCGTAATCTTTATGTGCCTCAAATCCCGTCAAACTTTATAGACTAAATTTCATGATATTGTGGTCAGAACTTAAAGTCTACGGCTCGCTGGAACGTCTATGAGATGTCAATTTTTAGCCCATTTTGCGATGTATAGATGGTGTTACTTCGTGCATTGTTAGATAAAAAGAAAGTGTTAAAAAATTACATTTTCGATAGTCGCGCTAGTCAAAAATTAGTTTTTGTAAAAACACCATAAAACGTTTGTGTATTTGGCTGTGGATAAACAGATAATTACCAAACGTATACCATTTCATCAGACTTGATACATATACACATATCTTAGCTACGAGCCTATGGAGAGTGTAACGTTATCTGATTTGTGAAAAAACAAAACCATGTTATAACCAACTTTGTATTAAGGTAGCGAGACTATTATTTGTGTTGAAAATTACGATTTTCACATTTATTTATTAATTGATGAAATGCACTATAAACTTTCATGTGATAAAGTCAACATAACATAGAATGTCATGTAAGTTGGTTAAAATGTAGATTTTCTGAAGGGAAGCAAGGCAGCCTCAGTAGTGTTTTCCAGAATCAACAACACAGGTTTAATCTGTGTGCCTATAAGTTTCAAAGATAAACTCAAGACAAAGCAATGTTAGGATGTGTTATCAGTAGCTATCTGACACACAATGAGTGTTTCCAAACATTTGAGTGGTTTGTCTCCGCCCCTGTTTGTTTCACAGATTAGTCAT